AAAATATGTTATGGAGAACAATAAACTAAACAACATTTTTCTGGGCACTACATCAAAATTCTTTACCAAATTTGAATTTAAAATCAAATACAGAAAATAAACACTATGATAAAAATAAGAAAAAATAAAAAGAGAATTAAAATGAGTGAGTGTGTCAGCACCTTTTCGACACCGCCATCTTTGCCGACTTTTAATTAATTTTTGGCATTGACAAATGCCCTGAAAATTTACAGATATGTAGTTTACATAACCAAAAACTCATAAAAATTTTCAAAAAATAATAGAATTGTTAAGGCCCCGAAATAAAGTGAAAACAAAAATTTAAAAGTGAAAAAAACAAAACAGTGAGTGGGCGAGCACGTTTTGACACCCCCATCTTTGACGATTTTTAATGTTTGTTTGGTTTAGCATAATGGCTTTAAAACTTATAGGCGTGTAGGTTACATCATAGGGAACTCACAAAAAAACATTCAGAAAAACAAACATATTTTTAGGCCCCGAAATGGTTTTTGGCGGGGGCCGAACCTGAAGGTGTTCAACCCCCAAACGGGACCCCGAATGCCCGAACGTTCGGGGGCCAGCCTGGAGGCCCCCGAACGTTCGGTCAGGTAACCCTGTACATATATATATATATACATATATATATATACCAGCCCGTACGTACGGAGGTCCCCGAGCAGACCTCTGTACGTACGGGCGTTCGGGGTCCCGTACGGGGTACGAACCCGACGGCGTTCAGCCCCCTCAAAAAAGTATTTCGGGGCCTAAAAATAATATTTTTTTTAGAATGTTTTTTTGTGAGTTCTCTATGACGTGAGGTACATGCCTGTAAATTTTCAAGTCATTTGGCTTAGCCAAATAAGAATTAAAAATCGCCAAAGATGGCGGTGTCAGACGTGCTCGCCCAAGTATTTTTCCGCTTTTTACTTTTTGTTTTCACTTTAGTTCGGGGTCAAAATAATTTTATTATTTTTTGAAAAGTTTTTAGTTGCTTTTGTATTATGTGAATTACACATCTCTAAATTTTCAGGGCATTTAGCTATTCCCAAAAAAAAAAAAAAATCGCCAAAGATGGCGGTGTCGAAAACATGGTCGCGCACTCACTAAATTTAATTCTCTTTTTATTTTTATTTTTAGTATTTGTTTTCAGTATTTAATATTTATTTCAAATTTGGTAAGGAATTCGGATGTAATGCTCAGGCAAATCTTGTTTATTTTATTTTTCTCCATAACATATCTTGTTTTCAGATGTTTTGGACGATTTGTTTTTTATTTTTTATTTTTTTTTTGGGTTCGTGTTCGGCCCGAACGGCCGAACGCATCCCCAAGGGGTACCATACGTTCGGGCGTTCGGGTTCGGGCGTTCAGCCCGTCCCGAACGCCGGTTACCCTGCATATATATACATATATATATAGTATATATATGCATATATATACTTATATGCGGAGTTGCCAGGCCGAACGTACGGAGGCCCCTAAGCTGACCCCCGAACGTTCAGGCGTTCGGGTTCCCGTACGGGCCTCGACCTCGAAGGGGTTCGGACCCCGCAAAAAATTATTTTGGTACCTCAAAATTATTTTTTTTTTCTGATTTGTTTTTTGTGAGTTGTGTGTTAAGTAAGCTACCTGTCTAGCAATTTTGAAGTCGTTCTGTGAAGCCAAAAAATAATAAAAAATCGGCAAAGATGGTGGTGTCAAAACTTGCTTTCCCACTTACTAATTTGTTTTTTTTCTCTTTTCTCTTTTTGTTTTCCCTTTATTTCGAGGCCTGAACAAAATTATTATTTTTTTAAACTTTATTTGTAGGTTCTCTATTATGTAAGATACATGTGTATAAAATTTCATGGCATTTGACAAAGCTTTTAAAAAAATGAAAAATCGCCAAAGATGGCGGTGTCAAAAACTTGCTTGCCCACGCAATAATTTCATTCTCGTTTTATTTTTTATTATTTTCATTAATATTATTTATTTTTCGTATTTGAGTTTTATTTCAAATTTGGTAATGAATTTGGATGTACTGTTGAGGCAAATGTTGTTTAGTTTATTCTTCTGCATAACATTTGTTTTTTTTCAGAGTTTTTGGAAAAGTTTTTTTTTTTTTTTTTTTTTTTTTTTT